AGCTGAACCTGGCCTATTTTTTATTCATCAGTTAAAGCAAACTAAAGCTTTATAGCGACTGCCTTTAGATGTCTGAACCTGTCTAAGTCTGAGTGTACTGGCCTTCTATTAAAATACGCAGAACATCATGACAAAAGACAAAAAGGAGCTATTTTAATGCATAGCTCTTATCTGGGCGAATAGAAGTGAATTAAAAATAACACTGAGTGATTTAGACCCTTGTCAAACACAGTTTTAGGATATTTGACCTCTTTGAAGCTTCAGACTGGTCAAAGCGAGATGAGGAATCCTCGAACGTCACCTCAGAGACTCTCACTTCCCACAGACTGAGCTCCTCTGCTGGAGACAGAGGGTGAAACCTTTTTGTTTAGAGGGACATACTGCCACCCAGTGTTACAGGCTGTGAGGCAGGAAAAGCTGCAGTTCACTCAAGTTTGTCCATTTCTCCAGTCCAGCCCCTTCACTTCATTCCTCTCCGCTTTAATGATCCTGTCTGCTGTTCAATAAATATATTTATTTCACATCAGACAGGATGTGATGCTATAATTACATGGCTGTTCCATGTCATTATGTAATTATGGTATAACCTACTGAAGTCATAATTATACATGATGAAATTAATTGTCTCATAATTATGCTACAGTTATCTCATTATTATAAGATAAGTCATCTATACAATATGAAGTTTCATATAATATGCTAATCTCATAATTAATAAATCTTGTGTAATATGTCGTATAATATGACTTTGTGATACGCTCATTACTGGAATAGCTTCATGTCAGTGAGACAAACAGTATGACATCATAGAGGGGGAGTGCAGGGTTTGGTGTCATGCAGTATGTTCGAATCTAGATGAACAAACATCCTCTGCCCATCAATCAGTAATATGTCTGCCATCTTTCTATAACCTGCCTGCCACAGTGAAACCTTGATGGTTTCAGTGTCTGTGTGTGACAGTTGCCAAATGGCTCCTGTGAGGCCTGATCGGCTCACTTGCAAACTTCCATCTGTTGGTAGAGATACCCCTGGTTGTATTTTGACAAACTTAAAAAGTGTGTGTCACGGCTTCACTCCTTACACTTGCATGTCATGTTGTCTTCAAATTTTGGAAAGAGATACATCCTCTTATTCAGTCATGATATTCTTAACATCGCACTGATGGTCAGACAAGAGCTGCTTCGGCACCTGTTGGGTTTGCTACAACTTAGTTGAATGACCATTGTTACACGATGATCACGAGTTCAGAGTTACACTGATCAGTCACTGTTCACTCATTTAGGTGCCATTAAAACCTCACACAAGACTGATCTGATATTGACATGTAGGGAAGTACAGAGCTGTCCATATATTAATGGATCGCATTAGGTAGATTGAAACCCAGAACCCTGAACTGTATATAAAACAAACATCAATGTCCCGCTCTCAGTCTGTTTTTCATAGAGCAGGAGTTCTGTTTTTGACTCCTCAGACTCTAATGTAAAAACTATACAACTGATTCTATTCATAAAGAAAATTTTCTTATTCAGTGTAGTTAAAGCACTGTTTCTCTTTCAGACTGAGTCGGACCTGTGCTCAGCGCTGACACTGTCAGCAGGCAGCTCACTGGAACCACCTCAATGACCCCTAGTGGCCACTTACCCAATCACTTATCAAACATCTACTGTATAATCTACATCCAGGATATTTACAGAAGACAAAGCCCCCACTGATGTCAGATTTCACATTTACAGACTCATGTTATTCATGCCAGCTGCACTTGTTGTCTATTTTTGGATTAGCACCACAGAATTGATTTTACATGCTCAGTTGATGTTCTTTGATCAAATCTGTGAACCCTAAATTTCGTCATAAGTGTGTGTCCATCTGCCTGAGATCCTGAAAACACAACAAAAAATTACACAAACATTACTGTTTTAATACAGTAAAACCCTGAATTTGTATTGCATATAACATGGATTCATTTACATGTGCCAATTGCATCCAGAGTCTTCTGCATGTAGATCTGAAGCATGGTAATCCAGAACTGTATGACTTTGTACTGTGTACTACATTGAACTAGTTTCTTTAAGCCCTATCTGTGCATCTTCAAAGATCTGAGTAGGCAGCACAGACTATTTGGCTCTTAATTGATTCTTTTGTTCACCGCAATCCCCATCAGCATGAGGCTGAGCTTCTATTATTGACCAAGAAAGAAGGAGGGAATGTAGAAATTGACAGACAGAGCATGAAGAGAGATAGTTAGGGATGGGGAGCGATAACGAGGAGGGCAAAGTACCCTGTAGGCTTAGCAAAAAGGGTGGATAATAGGGAGCAAGTGTGACCGCAGATACAGTAGCCTATCAAGTGAGAGTGAAAAATGGGGGAAGGATTGGAAATGAGCGAATCATATGCTGTAACTTATCCTCCCAGTTCACCAGAGACTAGAGACACTTTGTTTTAGAAGCAGAAAAGCCAAACTCCAGGTAGCCGCAGGGGGATGGGAGGAGCATTTTTTCACGCTTGAGAGGGTCTTTGCTGTACCTAACTGGCCACACTGGCCACCAGTCCTGTACACTAGTCCCAGCTTGGTGCTTTGTCAATGTGCTGTGACTAATCCAGGAGGGGTCCCGCATTTTCTCTCACCCTAATTAAAAGAGGATTAGATGGGATGGAGCGCTAGGCCACTCCAACATGCATAGCCACCATCCCTTTTGCTTTCCCAGGATAATCGCACTCACTGGAATTGCCTGGATTTTCTGCGCAGGCCACCACCTGAACTCAACGAGCAGGTCTCCCACTGAAATGGTTGGAGCTAAGACTAGAGGGGCTTACAATATATATTGGTACAAAAAAGAGCATTGAAGCAATTCTCTAACTGGTGTCTATATATGGTCTATACACTGTAAATCTGCTTCATCTCCAGTGTTGTATTTCTTAACTATGATTATTAACATTTTCAGCAGTGGCTATAGCATCTTTTGTATCATTTGTACATGCACTGTGGTGATATTTAAAGTGATTACATTGGCCTGTTTATTTTCTTGAAAATGGAAAATTCAAAAAATTTCCATCAGTCTGACAACAATTTATTTTGATATAGGGACAAAATTGAGTTTAGGTGCCTTTACCTTCCTTTACACCCCAATAAAAATGACCTTATTGTCACTAATGAATAAATTAACATTTCAGCTACATCTAAAGTCTAAGTCAACGAAAGAAAACAATACAAAGTACCATTTGGAAGATTTACTGAATTAAGAAATCAAGCAACTCTTAGCTATAAAACTGTATCTCAGCAGATAAAATAGGACTAACTGGTTTGTTCTTCAGACAAAATTTGCCCTGTAAATTGACTTTTAGGCAGCTTGACTTTATCCAGCCCTGCTGACAGTTACATGTAAGCCCCTTTTATACAGAGATCCCACTATATTGCCATTAAGAAGACCCTTTGTTATGCTGCTTTTGCTTGTTTACAATGAACCAAACAAAGCCAACATAAAGCCGCCCTAGTGTGTGATTTTAACTAGCATGCCTGAATCAGAGGCGTGACGTTTAACACAACAGTGTCAGCATCCTGTCCCGCCATGCTGGCTCTCCCTTTCACACAGAAGTCGATCCCGCTCTGTGACGACCTCTGCTGTCGGCATAAAGACAACAACAATGCTTCCCTGGTGAGAACAGTGAGGTGGAACGTTCCCGCCTTGAACAGGCGCTACAAAGACTACTGTAAGGCTAATCATAGCTATATTTTCATCCAAATACAAACTATGATTTGTTTATCTGTCATCTGATTGACTTGAAAATAATTGAAAGGAAAAAGAATATTCTGTTAAAGGTTTTCAAATTTGCTAAACTATATTTGAACTCATTTAGAGTGAATTTTTGGCAACACACATCTGTGAAAGTTTCCACCTCTACCTCCAATGACTCCCATGACTAAGGTTCTTATTGTGTTCTTAATCTTCCATTTGTTGATGCTTCAGATATGTCCGAGTGCATTTGCTTGTTTTCCACAGTGATGAAAAGCCTATACAGTATGTAACTTAAAACACTGCCATGCTCATAGATGTTTTTCTGATGTAGCCATTTCAAATCTTCAACGCTCTTTGTTCACTTACCACAAGTGAAGTGACAAATCAAAAAGCACATAATTTGTTATTTGGTGACATTTCTAATTTTTATGTTGTATACAAACAGGTGTGGCTCCAGGTTACCAGAATCAGAACATGAACAACACTGGTTTGCAATAGCTTTGCACTTACAAAGACAGAATTACAATAGAAAGTTAGTTTGGAGGGTTATTAATGGAAGCTGCTGTCAGCTGTTAACTAATCCTGCACTGGCTTATAAATAGCCAGCTGAGATGAGCTAGTTTAAAGTGCTGGCTAATTTAGCTGCCAGCTGCCACAGAGAGGAGTGCATCACTCCCACTGCATAGTTGGTATCTGGGGAGGCCTTTTAAAAAAATGACCTCTCAGGCCTCTGAGTGGCCCCTGTGGGTGTAGGCCACAATATATTCTCACGCTCATGGACAGCTTGATTAGTCAGTGGGAGTTTGCCACTGAATATAATCATCCAGACTGTGGCACAAGACAAATATGGGAGAATATTTCTGTTGTGGCAGCCTCTTGTCATGTGGCTTCCTCTTTTACATGTCTGTCTCATTTGATAGGCTACTGTCCACATCGCTTTTTATTTGCAGCTTGATTTGACAAAATAATCTTAACTGAAAGTCCACTTAATATCTTTTCCCAAAACGTTCAACCACATCTCACTGTCATTAGCATTTTTTCTCCATTTATATTTGTTATATTCCCTTTTAGTTGCTATTAGTTAGCTTTTATAAAAGAATGGCTTCATGTTGCTTTTTAAAACTGCATTTGAAAAACTAATTTAACTAAATTTAACTGATTCTGTTAAACTGTTATTAACGTTTTCGATTAGTCTACGACTTTAACAGGCTGAGCCGCGCCCACTTCACGGTGCCTGGAAAACAACTTACTGCGTCACAGCCCCTACGAGTCAATACTCAGGGTAACAGAGACCATCGTACCCAGCAGCAACTCGCTGGACCGCGTTCCCTCCAGTACACTTAGCTCTAACACTGTTACATATTTTGTTTGGCATTAACCATGGACAATGAAGACCGTGCAATGAAAGAATCCAGAAGACGGGAGCGTCAGTCAGGTAAGGACTTGCTTACTTCACACGGGCTGCTGCTATGGGCAGCTTGGCTACAGAGGCTAGCATTTACTAGCTATATGTTCAACGGTTGAAGCACAAATGTGAACACCAGGGCAAAGGTTTTTGACTTTTCCATAAACAATACATATCTTATCACCTGGTGTGAAAATACAACCGTTAGCAGGAAACACTGGTTCATGTTAGCTAAGTCTGACCAACCTAAAGCTACCATTGGTCAGTTAGAATGTTCCACTCACTAGCAAGTTAAAGATAATGGTAGGGTAACGAATTAGTTTTGACAACAAATTTGTCAGTGCGATATAAACACTTTAAACTGCCAACTTAGTTAGCGTTATAGCCGATATTAACTGGATTTACCCCGAGGCACAGAGTGGGATCAGTTTGAGAAGCCCTATGGTAATCAGAATCGATTATTTCAGTGACGTAGTAAGGAAATAGGCGGACGGTTACTGATATTATGGCACCTAACCATGAATTACTGAGTTACTGACTTTTCAGTGAATGCCTAACTGTAACATTGCTCTGAGTGATTCAATAGCATTCTGACCTCTAACTTTGTCTGTAGGCTCAAGCAGGTATGGTATACGTGATATTGAAGGTATGGATCTCAGCCATTAATGGTTGCATGTCACTTACAAAGTAAACACTGAAGGCAGGGCGGATGATGGGATTGCTAGTGTCTAGCCGAACAAATCCACAGAAGCAGTGGGTGTGGATGGAGGTGTCATTAAACCTAACTAACCATATACATGTGTAAGTGTGTGTCGTCAGAGATGGATGACAGCTGGAAGTGTAGTTAGTTTAAGTTCTGTCCGAATGAATGAACTTGCTTTGTGATGTTTTAAGTGCAGTGTTTATTTACAATTTCCAACAGATACTTTGAATCAGGTGAATTTATTGCAGCACATGTATTTGTCTTCTTCCCTCCCCAGCTTTGGAGAATACAGACTCTGACATCGGCTTGTGTGGCTGGATGTTGGTCGCGTTGTCTGTCCTTCTCATGCTGGTTACCCTCCCCATCTCCATATGGATGTGCATTAAGGTCAGCTGCTTGTCAAGTTCAGTGTTTATTTTCCATTGTTCTAGCAAAGCTGACTGGTATGGTCAAGTATAGTAAATTAGTGAGGATGGCCCCCTCTGTAAATTCAGTGTTTTGGAAATTTGAGAGATTGTGCTCCAGACTCATCCCCTATGTTATTTATTTATTTAACAGCCAATGGAAGTTGTGGAACCATTGTTGTGCATTTATTTAATTAAAAAGCATCCTCAGTCAGCAGTGTAAATGCTCTTGTAGGGAAAAGAGAAGACTCTTGCACAAGCCGATTTTGTGTTTTTTCCCTGTACACAGATTGTGAAGGAGTATGAGCGAGCCATTATCTTTCGCCTGGGGCGAATTTTGCGAGGAGGAGCCAAAGGACCAGGTCAGAAACCATCATTGTTTTATGTATACACCTTCATATATATTTGTTTTACTCTATCAACATCTTCAGTTCTTTTATTGAAATGTACTTCAGACATGATAAAAGAGCATTTATTTTCTGGTACCAAAGGGTTACATTCAGTACATATATTTAGTATGACCTGCACTGAGCACAGAGATCATGCCAGTGTTGGAGAGTGTGTGCCTCCTGTTTGTTAATTATATCAATTTGCACAAGGATTATCTGTTTGTGTTGAAAAACAACATCAGTCATCATCTTGAGACCAAATAAGATCATATGAGAAAAATTGGTTACCTTGATCTTTGCATGTGATTATGTTCAGCTTTACACAATATTTCTTGTGTGCTGTTTTTCCACTTAGTGCATTGGTGTCTCAGTTTTAGTTAACACTGACCTTCTACAACAGAGACCAAGCCCTGGTCTGTCATTGTCCAGGCCGAACTCTAATTCTGGGGTGTGGTGACTATGCTTGAAAGAATAGTGAGAGATCACATGACCAGCTTCAGATGATCTTGCCAGTCCTTGGTTGGTAATGCAATTAGATTCCTGATTTATGGCTCCTTTTCCCAGCAGACTTAATGACGTAGGCTGCTATGATAACTCTGAGGTTCAAAGAGTATGCAGATGTATACAGTGCAGACCATAAGTATTTGGACAGTGATCAATGTTTTGTTGTTTTGACTCTGCACTCCATCACTGTGGGTTTGAAATGAAACAGTAACTATGAGGTTTGAGTGTCAACTGTCAGCTTTAAATTAAGGGTGTTTACATCCACATCAGTCAAAACATAGCAGGAACTGTCACCATATACATACACACTCCTCCTACTTTAGGGAGACTACAATCATTGGACAAGTTAACATAAATTCATGTGATCATATTTAATGTTCAGTGTCAAATTCTTTCAAGGCAGTGACTGACTGAATGACCTACAGACATCAGTATTACTTTGGTATCATCCCTGCAGATGCTTTGCCACAGTTCTACTGCAGCCATCCTCACCACTTTCTTGTCTCAGAGGCTTCAGTCTGCTCATCAGCTGTGAAACACATGGGCAGCTGCATTGAGGTCATGTGACCACTCTTTGGGCCAAAATGGCTTGTCAATGGTCGCCTTGTCAGTATGTTTAGGCTCAATGTTGTGAACTGGTGAGGGTTAGTGTTTAAGGAGAGTCCTACACTTTTCACCAATATGAATTTATTCACTCTCGCCCTTAAAACTGAAAGTCAACACTTTACTTCATTGTCATTGTTTTATTTCAGATGTGATGTGCTGAAGAACAAAGTAAAACAATAGTAAATACAGTCACAACACTTAAAAACAATGCAGTACTAAACCTGTACTATGGGTGTTTAGGATTTGTTCCTCAGGAAGAAAATTTTAGCTTCAGCCCAAAGGATACTGGATTTTTTTCCACTGTTAGCCAATATTCTTTGTTGCTGCCCGTGACTTTTTTGATTTTTTGAGGTAAATTTAACTTCTAAACCCAAATTATATTAGTCTGTCGGTAAAGAACCAGTATGTGTTACATAATGTATGCATATGCTGTTCATTATATCAATTCTTATCAATTCTTATCAAATATTAGCAAATGTTAGCAAATTCTGTTACCATCAGTATTTTCTCTGCTCTGTGAGGCTGCGCTTGGGTGCTTGAGCTAAATTCTAACATCAGTGTGCTAATGTGCTTACAGTAACAATGCTAACATGCTGATGTTGAGCACGTGTGACCACATCATTGTTTAATGTGTGGAGGATATGTGTCTGCCATATGCCTGGCAATACTGCTGCATATGTCTGTCAGTGGTCTGAATGCCTGAAAGGCAGTGTATTTGTTTAAAAAAAAAAAAAAAAAAAAAAAACGCAGATTCCCACAAGGAATAATTTGCATACATATCATAATTCACTGTCTCTTTATCTTTGATTTCTTGTTTTTACTGGATCTAAAAACCAGGCAGTGTCCTCTCAAAATGCTGAAATGTGACTCCTCAGAGAGCCACCGGGGCCCTTTTATGACAGCACATGGTAATAATAGCTCTCTAACAGCAAACCTCACATTCCTGAGGCGCTTGATGAGCCAATGGCAAGGTAGAATTCAGCATCTGGTTTCCTTTATTGCCCCTTACCCTCACCCTCGTAATCTGGCTCCCTCTCCATCTACAACAGCTGTTATACAATAGTGACTTAGAACATGTCTCCATATATTTTGTTTGAAACAGGCTCCTGAGGACAGTTTGTCATAAGATGCAAAGGGTGTGTTGGAACATTTTTTGATCAACAGAAGTTTTTATTAGGATTCTTATCAGTGGAATTTTCCTCTGTGTCACATGATGCGAGAGAGCAACTTTAGCCTCTTTATTTGTCTGACGAGAACTATGTGTTGAGAATGCTGAGAATGTCATGGTGGAAACGGCACGAAGACACTGCTGTTGCCTTCGTTCCCCCTGCTGAACAGATGGCAGTGATCTCCCAATTTAATTGCACAATATCCTGAGAGGAAACGCCGCTCACAAGCCTCTAACTGGTGGGGTATTAATGTTCGCTAAATGATTGCACACCTAGCACATGTCTATTTCACTCAGGCACATGCCTAGTAGTGTTTATTGCACTAATTCAATTATTGTGACGTGAAACAGGCTCATGAAAGCTGCAAATATCTGCAGCTTTGCCTCGCTGTCAGCACAGCTGCAGTCTTACAAAGAGAGCTTGACTTGGCCTTCTGTCAGAATTTCATTCATCCCGGTGTGTTCATACATTTGTGAAGAAGCTTTCTCATTATTGTGTTTACAGTGCCTTTAGTCTTTGTTAAAACCATTTGCATTCTTGTGATTCTGCAGGGTTGTTCTTCATCTTGCCGTGCACCGACAGTTTTATTAATGTGGACATGCGCACCATCACCTTCGATATCCCACCGCAAGAGGTATGACTTGCACACTTCCAGTTCCATTAAACAGTTACATTGTCACATTCCCTGAAATTCAAAGGACATCACAATAGTTGTTCAGATTCTTGACAGAGCCTGCCTGTAATTCACTCTTTGACAAATAGATGTATACACATCAAACATTTTCTTCTTAACATGCATCAGCTTTTTCCTGTTATCTCCTCTTGTACATCTTTAATCACTGTCCTGTTTCAGGTTTTGACCAAAGACTCTGTGACAGTGAGTGTGGATGGTGTGGTCTACTACCGGGTCCAGAATGCTACTCTGGCTGTGGCTAATATCACTAATGCTGATGCTGCTACACGGCTGTTGGCCCAGACCACCCTGAGGAACGTCCTGGGTACCAAGAACCTGGCTGAGATCCTGTCTGACCGTGAGGAAATCGCACACAGTATGCAGGTAGCATACAGGAGCAGTTGTACACACTTCATAACTCAGTTCAGTACTCAGTTCATAAGTTTTGTTGTAGATTTGCCACTTGAAATATAAATATGCTGGTAAGAGTGGTTTATCTAATATGCCATATAAGGCCTGTTAGCCTTTTTCTGCATCTATATACAGCCATCGGTTCTTGTTTGGTTTGACCTTTAGACATTTAACTGTCTGTATCACCCCTGTTGCCCACATTCAGTCTCATCTTTATGTTTATTGGGGGTTTTTTTGTCCAGTACTCATTTCTGAGTTTGAAATATTTGAGCCATGCTCTTTAAATATTAAAATATAAAAACAAATAATTTGATTACATTATTAAGTTAATAATTTATGAATCAAATAAATATGTGGAGTATCGAAGGTGGCGCTCATAGTGATGAACTCAAGAAAAGGATAAATTATTAAAAAAAACAAAACAAAAAAAAACAAAAAGTGTATGCTACCCACCCAGCACCAAGCAGTATACTGAGACAGTTAGCAGCTAACTGGTGAACAAAGTCAGCCTTCTCCGCAGTCAGTGACCAGACTAGATCTGAAGAGAGCAACTTAGACTGAGATTCATCACATGTCGAGAAACACAAATTATTGCTGATGTTTCTCTGCTGGACATGTGAATAGGCAACTTTTTGTGTTGATTAATATTACTAACAAGCTAACATGTTATCCATAAAAACTTAATAAGGTGATAATATGAGGTGTGTTTTCAGCTTCTCCTGCTGCTCACAATGTGGCAAAAATTCATAAATACAGCTTTAACTAACATTTTTCACATCAAAGATAATTCATGTGGTTAGTTATACTTTGTATTTGCAAAGCTGCTACAAATAATGAATACTTTTTGACAAATGGTAACCTGGTCTATGCCCCTCAGATGTTTGGACAAGTCAAGTGGAACATTACAATACAGCCTCAGGTCGAAGCATTCTTTGTGTGTGTTACAACATTTCCATGCATCCTGGATGTCTCTTGGACATTAATGAGGCTCTGCAGAGAAGCATTCTTTCTTACTACCTGGTAAAACCGCTACAGTGTTTGCCATTCATCACCTAGACTGAATTTGTCCCACCACAGTTTCATAATGAATGGAAAGATTATTTACACTTCTAACATAACATAAAAAATCTGTAACGTTTTGATTTGCTCTGAGGCTTCTTTGTAGAGCTGTGCGCAGCGCGTTGATTCGCTCAGCCCTTCCTAGCCCCTCAGGGCGCACAGAGCTGCTATGTGCAGTGCCAGGAGTGGACTCAGTGGTCAGTCACAATATGTTATCAACTTGCCACAAATAGAATCAAATTCTGTGTGAAACACTGCACCATTAAACTAACAATACGACAAGGTGCAAGCGTGCCTGACTTTTAAAGGGAATGGGAGATGGCACTCTGATTGGTTTATTGCATGTTACGCCCAAAACACTCCCATGATTAACAAAGAGACTAAGTACATCCCTTGCGCCTAGATGCAGGCAATAATATGAGACTCCAGTAACACAGTCTGACTCTGACAGAATGGAGGATTACAGTGCCACCTTGCTTAGAGTCAGGTTTACCAGCTGCTTAATACATCTGTCACCTGAAGTGTGTTTCAATGTCAGTTAAACTAACAAACTGTAGTAAGTGTGTAACAGCTGTAAACTGAGCAAACCAGAGGTATCCTGTATTTCCATTTAGACCACAGCTGTTTGTTGCCTTTGAGCTCAATTATTTATTTATCCATTAAACTTTTACTTTCAGTTTGTATGAAGCTACTGTCAAAAATAAAATATTTAGTTTAGTTTGGTTTGTCAGTGATCAGATGTGTTTTTAGGAGAGCTTATTTAGAGCTTATTTAGTATTAGAAAAACTAGACTTGCCCATTAACAAGTTAGTGTTAGTCATGACCAAGTTGACTTTATTTGAGTCCTTTGACAAAGAGCAATTCTTCATATAAAAAAGGTTTTGTTGATTAATTCCCTTTGACTTTGCTATTTTACATTCTTCACCAGCTTTATTAGAACCCAGCACTGCGGACAGAACCTGCCACTTTTCATTACTGTTAAAGCGAAGTAACATTCATGGTGTGTCTGAGATCACATCTGCACATATGCTAATGTGCATAATGTTGTTTGTGTGTCAGCCCCCACACCAGCTACGTTCACCATCCCCATTGAAATGTTACAGAAAAACAGTTGGACCTCTTCCTCCTACTGTGATGGTTTGAAAATGGCAAATCTGTGCATATAGACTTTGATGTGTCTTGGAGCAGTGTTGAACTAAGAGGCCATTTGGAAATTAGCATGTTTTTGAATATACAGCATGTAATCACACAGGTGATAACTCTCTGGTTCAGTTGTCAGACAACTGTACAAATCTATGCAGTGATTTCCGCACTTAAATGCAGGTATTTGTTAACCAACACAGATTCCTTTGCTGCTGCATGGTGAGCTCCAATCACTGCTCAGTGGTGATACAATTATTGACAGCATGAACATAAACACAGTTGCCTTGACAAACACATTCAAGGAGCTTGCAGAACAGAGCATAGCCTCGTACCTTTCATTTTTGTTTTCACAGTAGGAGGCTTTGTCTGATTTGATTTAATAGAAAAAGAACAAAGCTCCTTTCTCCAACACCCTCACTGTACTGAGTACAGAGACCAGATTGTTTTAGATGATCATCAGAAACATCGTTCATAAGATACTTCATGTATAAAACTTAAAATAAGACATGCAATCTGCCACTTGGTAAAATAATAATTGTAGTAATATGATGTTTGTAGTGGTTACATTTTCGCCAATTTTGCTTTATGTGTACCTGGCATCACCCCTATTTGATGAACTTTTTTTTTTAAATGTAAATATAATCTAAATGTAATCTCTGTGCTTGAGGCGGAAACATTTAACCTTTTTGAGCTCCATCTGCTGGACAGTTTAGAACAAACCAGGATAGTTTTTAGAGAAGAGGGAAGAGGAGGGTGATTAAAACTTAATGACAAAATGTGGACTTACAAATGTATGTCGGATCATTCATTAACTGGGGTTAGAGGCAAGTAGTTTTATAAGGGCAAGTCTATGAGGGCCCATTAGAGTAAACGTTGACCACTTCTCTCTCTGTCCTCTCAGTCATCTCTGGACGATGCAACAGATGACTGGGGGATCAAGGTGGAGCGGGTGGAGATCAAAGATGTCAAGCTGCCTCTCCAGCTCCAGAGAGCCATGGCAGCTGAGGCTGAGGCCAGCCGTGAGGCCAGAGCCAAGGTAAGGTGGTTCTTTCTGTTTAAAGTAGGAGATTCTCTCAAACCTCAAAATATTCCCACAAGTTTGCACATCTGGGCTGCTGTTTTCTCTTGTGGGTGTTAATGAGGCCTAAAGCTCTAGTAATACCCAGACTGAAGACAGTCTTTTAAGGGCAATGTCAAGTTTGTGGAGGAACAATTATCCAAAAATACAAAAAATGAACTAACACAAGCAACATAATTGTGTATTTATACCAGTAGTTGTTGTATATCATCTCTAGATATTGGTACTGATTTGGAAAGTATTTGAAATGTCGCCCACCCTGTCTCCAGTTTATATTTCAGTGCATCATTTCCATTTATAGGTTACATTAGCTTCTATGTCAACTTTAACTCAATGATTTGAAAAAAATCACATTGCATAGCAGGGTATTAACATATTGGTCTGATCCAACTAAATAGTTTTAGTTTACAGGATATCTTTATCTTTTGAAGAAGTGATGAAAGATTACAATAGAACTTTCATCCAGTGAGCTGTGAGATCAAAGCCCTCTGTCCTAGTCATTCACCTTTCTTTCCTCCTGTTTCCTTCTCAAGGTGATCGCAGCGGAGGGAGAGATGAACGCATCACGGGCACTGAAGGAGGCGTCCCTGGTGATCGCTGAGTCTCCGTCAGCCCTGCAGCTGCGCTACCTGCAGACCCTCAACACAATCGCTGCGGAAAAGAACTCCACCATCATCTTCCCGCTGCCGCTGGACATGATGCAAGCCTTCATTAAACACTGAGTCTTCATACATGTTGTTCACATGTACACACTCATGCAACACATATCATTTACACATGCATTTATAGGCTCTATGTCCATTCAGCACGTTTCTTTGAATCTACTACGCTAACACAACAGAAACATCTTTGCGTTTGAACACACCACAGACTGTGGTCAACAGTAGAGCCCACATGCATGTATGATTTGCGCCTGTGTGAGGAGAAATAACTCCATACAAGGTGGTAGCAGCTGTCTGGACTAGTAATGAAAAAGGAAAACTGAAACATGGTCTTTTTTTATTTCATTCCAAAGTGCCAAAATATTCTTCTAGATCAATCAGAAAGCTATAGCAGATGAGCAGAAATTAAAAAGGTTATCCGGAGCCAATGGTGCCAAACACACAGCTAAATCTACACCAGCTAGACTGGTGTCTGCCAAGGACTGACCAAAGTAGGTGCTTTGCTGTAGAATATTCATTCGATTTGTTATTGTGAATTACACTGATCTCCGTAGTGCAGCTTTATGTTACACTACAAATGTAGATTTAAAGGTTCCCTGGCTGTCGGCATAGAGGCAGGAGCGCAAACCTTCTATCATCCGTTTTACTAGAGCTTTAAAGGAAAGTGCCAGCTGGATATGCAGCCTTACACCTGCGCATGCATGCACACACACACACACACACACACACAGATATCCTTCTGTTACTACTAATATCTCCTGATGATGTGGCACTTGTGCAACCACTGCCAGTATCGCCATTGTCATTTTATACCCAAAATTATATTCATGATATCCATATATTTGTGTGTGCATGTTTTTTTTAGATGTTTTAATCGGGAGAGTGAATGGAAAAAAAGCAATGACATACTGGTATTAAGATCCTTTAAGTGTTAAGTGTTTATTAAATGTTAATGTTACATTTTGAAAGCTATGAGATGAATGCACGCAAAAGTTGTAATGATGTAATGTTTAAGGTTTGTGTTTGGCAGAATTTATCACATACTAACCAGCTCCAGAGGCATCCAGAAGTCTTAAAATAATCCCTACAGCAAGTAGAGATTAGCCAGTGACATACAAATAATAGTGCAGGAACACACACACACACACACACACACATATATTCCTCTCTGTTAAACACCTTCTCTCCCGTTGTCATTACTACTGTCCCAGATTACAAGCTAAAACTTGGCTGCGAGGTCACTATTTTATGTTTACAGTGTGCTTTCTATTCATACACAGTATACTGTATGTAATTTGGAGGCTGGTGGACAAAATATTATGAACACTTCATATTCTTATAAGGTTGACTCAGCATCCCTTTTACATAATCAAAAAGTGAACCTCATCAGCCACACAGGTAGTAGTGTGTGTATTGCAGGGCTGCAAGTGGTTCCTGTCATTTTGTCCATCCCCTGGTTTATTAGTCTGCTCAGAAAGAGCAGGTACAGAAATGTATTGCAAATCTTTCAGCCAAATGCCTTAACTTACTGCCATCAATTATTTTACAGTCTAATATGACATTTCTATGCACTTCAAAATGGAAATAATAATAAATTATGGATTTTATTTATCAATTTTTACTTAAATTAGCAATATTGTATCATATCACACATGCTCTATATGTTCTCTCTGAGTATAACATAAACCAAATAGTAAGTAGATGAAGCATCAGTATCTAGTCTATGTCTGACTTAACACTACTATATATACATAATAGGGCTGCACAATGTATCATTTCAGCATTGTTATTGTGATGTGAGCATGTGCAATAGTCACATCGCTGGAAGTTAAATGCTCAAACTCAAACATGTCATGCTATAAATTAGAGAGTGAAGCGGGAGTGGATTTTTATTCTTGTTCCATCCCACTCCCACAGAAAGACCCCTATTCCTCCCAATCCCATTACAGAATAAAAAAAATCCCGTCCCGTCACAATCCCGGAAGAATGACTCCTGTCCTATCCCGTCCCATGAGAGGACTCTGACTCCATTGATGGCAATGGCATTTTTTACAGTCTCCCACAGGTTGAGCAATTCCCTTGTGGTGGGTGGCATGGCATGTAACGGATGTGCCTGCAGGGACTCAGTAGACTCAGCAGTTTAGAGGGGGAGACTGTATCACCAGGTAGCTACAGTCTACAGATGTCCCCTAAACGTCTCACATGCAGACTATCGGTAGAAGCTACAATTTACCGATGTTCCCTAAACGCATTCGGCTGCATACAGAGCAGCCTCTAGTCTCCACTCAGTTACTGCAGCACAGCAGCTCAGACAGGCGTCAAAACTGCTTCAATTTGATTGTTATTACGATTCCTGTCCAGTCCGCTCCCGTTGACTTTTTTTTCCCGGTTCTGTCCCAATCACGTGATCAATAATGAAATTGATTCTCATGCTACAGGAATCCTGTGACCCACAGGATTGCCTAAAAATTGTTAGCCTCTACTACAACTTTCTTGCAATATTGCAATGTCATATTGTGTCACATCGTGCAGCCCTAATATATACTGTATACATATGTAATTGCATTCTGTGAATTATCAGTTTTGCTGTGGGTAGTTGGAGGGTTCAAGTTTGTCACAATTGGGCCCAGGTTTAATCTGACATTGTTATAAATAGGTATTTTTCATTTATTTTTGTTCTAGAATATGACACCTGTTGCATTAGTTTACTACTGTAGCTCCTGTATATTAGATTTACTGTTACTTTGCTACAGCTACAATAAGCCTTTCATTGGGGGAACCATTCAGACCTGCTCTGAGTTGAGTTTACTGTTTTAGAAATAGGAGAGGTTGTTACATTTACTTGCAGCACGACCACAGTGTTGCTGACCACTATGCAGCTACTCTGCTTCTGCTCTCACTTCTCTAATCGTTTGACTTTCACTGAAAAGAGAAAAACCCCATCATGAAAATGAAGGCTTTGTTTTAGTATCTGCCTTGTTTTTAAAAAATGTTACACACATGAATATTTTTTTAAAGCTTTATTTAGGATTTATGGTAGATTTGTTAGTTTTTGCAGCTAACTACTTTTTTTCTACACTTTGCTAATGTTTGATATGGTTTTATCTTGATATAATACTTACATATATATATATAAACATATATAAAGACTTGAAATAAAGACCCTCTTAAAATATTTTTTTCTATGGATTTCATTCTTTCAGAAGAGCGCTGCAAGTGTTTGTAAAAAGTAGAGAAATGACACTTTAACATGTTTAATTAGGTTTTATTGAAATGATAACAAGCCTTAGGGAAACCTCAAAGTGTCACAGAAGACCTAACTGGTTGGTAAAGCAGCAAAGCATTGGTTTCCCACTGTAGCATCACACAAGCTTCCTGGGCATAAATCTGGCATTTAAAAAAAATAATAAATATAAGTGACATCTAAACTGAAGGTACAAACAACTTGTCTATAAAGGCATTCTTATACTAGAACAGTACCTTTTTAAAAAGGTTCAAAGTTGAACAGGTTAACTGTAAACTAGAGGAAAGAATATTAAGGCATTGGTTGTATTGCTTTTAATAAGCAGTGTTTGCTTGGCAGTGACTTTTCCAATGCTGACACCAAGGCTTTAAACTTGCTATATGTTTGCTGTTATTACATTTCACTAGTGAAAAGGCTTTATTGTCAAAATATGAAATAAATGAGAAAGATTGCCTTCAATAACAGTCATAGAACTAGACTATTTAGTGCAAAACCCTACAGGAAGCCTGTGTATCTGTTAAAGCTCTACTGTTATTGGTTGGTTGAATTAAAATACTGCTTTATAGACGTCTGTCCCTTTTAAAAGCACAACAAAATGTAAAAAAAAAAAAGAGAAATTACTCATTTTCAGGGCGAAGCTTAAAAAAGTCTTTATGGTTGGAGCTCGGTGCTTGCGGTGGAGCAGCAGGGTGAAAGGTCAGGGCTGACAGGGAGGAAAGCTCACAGGGCCAACTCAGCCATAGCACGCTCCAGAGGGTCGCTGGTCCAGTAGTCGTGGTCCCAGCCCAGGAACCACCCGGTGAAGGTGGGCGGCTCGAAGCCCTGCTTCATCTTGACAATGGGCGTCCTGCGGTCTCTGTTGGCTGGATCTGTCTCGATGTAACGGACCGCTGAGATGGAGAAAGGTTGGATTACTGACAGTCACATGCCACATTTCTCATAGAGTAAAGCTGAATCACAAATGCACAGAATCATGTCAGGGAAATGAAACCAGATTGTATCCAAATTTTAAAGGCCCTGAAAACATTGTCTCAGTCACTTCCTTTCTATGAGTGGTGGAATGTGATACGAGCATAATATTTTCTGCCAAAGCCAGAACACTTTGTTATTTCATATGACAGGTTTCTGTTTTTGAAGTGGGTGGGGCTCAGCTGGAAAAAGATGATGTTGCGATGTGTAGCGACAGTAAGAAGCCCTTACAGTTAAGACTGGCTTTAATGGATTCAACAAACATTTGATTCTAAATTCAATAATCTAACGTACATGTTGCTTCAGGACATTATTTATCTGTGATGAAATGGAAAAATAAGATTTAATCATCCTCAAAGAAGCTTTTATGACTCTGGGTTTATTTCTTTTTTTAGTGCAGTGTGAATATTTTCTCGAGGTACACAATTTAAATATGACCTAGGCTTTTTTTTTATTTTGAATAAGAAAATGTTAATATTTGATGGGTAAGAAAAACTAGGAATATTTTTAAGCTATAAGAGATGTCAGTTTAGGATGCCAAAGAGTATTTAGAGAAAAAAAATGGAGGAACATTCTGGCGGCGTTTTTCTTTTTCTTTTGTCACAGGTCTAAATGATTTCAGCTCATAAGTGCCACATATATAGATGTCACATCTTTATGATATGATGTTGAGCTTAAATGTCTTTACCAGATGCCATGGCTTCAGTCTTCTCTTCCTCCTGGGCCTCGTTTCCGATCCACACAAACACCTAAAAATAGGAATGGTTTATGCATATTTGTTCTTTTTACTATTATATAACTCTGCCCCTGCTCTGACTTCATATACAGCTACAGCAGTCATAGCTCCGGTTTCTTTACCTGCTCCCAGGTGTCGAGGATCATGACATCATCAGTGGCAAGGTCGTCTTGGGTAATCTCCCCGGGTACCTCCTCAATCTGAGAAGAGGACAAGGATTTGGTGATGATGTAATTGATGCACTGTGTGCAGAAAGAGCTTTGGAGCATTCAGAAGCTGGCACATTTACATTTTAGAGATAATGTTCATTGTAATCTGTCTGGTTTAAGGGGCTGGTCCACTTCTTTTGTGAAATGACCCTTTTAAATGACTTATGAAGCAGCAGATGAAGCTTAGACCAAAGACTTACGATGAAGTTTCCAGTCTTATTGGAGCAGGCGAAGAGTCTGGGTGGATGAGCGTCCATCTTGTCCTTGAGTCTGGTAGAAGTGCGATATTCTGTCTTTCCTCCTAGGATCTCCCAGAACTGATCTGTGAGGTGGACAGACACACTTCATCTGTTACCCGAGAGTTAGTTGAGAAGGAGACGGTTAGCTTAGCTTAGCATGAAGAGTGGTGGCAGGGGGAAAACACTTGTCCTGGCTCTGTAAAAAGTTTTTTTTTTTTTGTACAAAGTAAACACATGAGGTCTAATGTGTAAATTCATGAGCTGTAAAGGTGCTCATAGGTGGATTTTGTCACCTTTGAACAGAGCCTGGCTAACTGTTTACCTGTTTCTGTTCTCTGTGCTAAGCTAAGCTAACTAGCTTTCAATTTACCAGAACCACTGAACCACACAGTGCATGTGCTGTGAGACCAAAACTATGAGCTAAAACACGCTAAAAAGCTCCACAGAGCTGCAGGGCTGGTGACGTCACTATGAACGCTCCCTTTCACATTACAGTTTTTCAATTAATATGAATTTTAATCACAATGTGTAAAATAGTAAGTGCGTTAACATACTATTTTACACATCACTTACCCTCCGAAAAATTATTTCTCATACACAACAGCATGAATTTTGAATAGAGAAGGTTATAAACCATCTTCTTTAGCTCACAGAAATAAAATGTTGAATTTCTGACTGATCGTTTGTTCTTAACCATTTTTAACCCATGGGTCTGTCCATTGCAAGTATCTATCTAGGCCTATCTATCTATTTTGTCTTAAACAGCCCTCAACTGGGGCCAGTTTTTAAAGAGCAGATTGTTTATAAAAAATTGAATGTGTTGTGTTTTAGCCTGAGGTTCTATATTTGAAACTGTTAGTAAAGTATTCTGTTTTTTTCAAGCTTTAAAAGTAAATCACAAGATTACAGATAACATCTAAAGGGGTGATACAATCACTCCTTTGTTTTAATATAGATGAACATGAGCCATTAGAGTAGCTGAGATACAAAAAGAAAACTATTTAGCTTCACACAAAAGTGTTATTTTCACATCTCGACTGAACTATTTTCAGTTTGAAGCTGAAACAGAAACAACATGTATACGTGCACATATATAACTGGTATTATATTCAGTTTGTCTCAAAAGCACAAAAACATGAGAAAATAATATACTGTGCTCATCATGTTTCCTCACCAGTCTCTCCTCCCTCAGACAGCTCGGAGGCCGACACTCCCAAGATGTCACATAACTGCTGAGCTCCCTGCTTCTCTGTGTCGCTGGCACCCACTCCCACCCACATGAAGGAGTCTCCAGGGGTCACCAGAATGAAAGCGTCATTGGAGTTCAGGTTGGATGCCACTGCATCAAGCTGCGTGAAAACAGAAGCGCTGTAGATTTACATGTGCAGTTCTGATACTGCTAATGTTTCACATTGGTCGCAGTCAGGGTTTTCCAATTTATACACACACATTCAAAGTGTTTTTATTTTGAATTTTATTCTAAATTTCTTGCACTCTTACATTTATTTCATTTAATCCCCCCCCCATGATTTTCTGTGATATTTTCATTTTAGTAAAACAAATTCATGGAAAATTTACTTGACCATGTGACAATAATAAAATCAATATCTTAACAAGCCATTTAGTCTATTACAGTATTATAATTACCCTAAACAACAGGGCACTGTAGTTTTTTGCAAACATTACTAAAACAGTGCACAGTAAATGCATTTGCTAGGGATTATTTTTCAGCAGCGGATTAATACACAAAATCAGCTCTGGTAAAGTTAGAGGTTGAATGACGTATGTTCTCTTACCTCCACGGCTCTCGTGTGTCCCGCAGAGTTGGACCGCACCTGGAAGAGTCGTGTCTCTGCAGGAGCGGACTGACCTCCTTCTCTGGAAGTTCCCCCCTTGTACACCACCATGGGCTGTCCTCCAAACAGGCTCATCAGATGGGCCGGCTCCTTCCCTTGCACCACCCTCACCTGGTACGCCAACAGCACGATTAAAAGTCAGGAATGACGAGACGGTTGTTACAGTAAGTCCCCGTTGCAAAATACCTCATGCGTTTTGATGTTGTGAGTTATATTAAGGTGGTGCAACCAAATCACAGCAGACAGATCCTCCCCTTGTTGTGTCTTGTGAAATATGCATCAACAATATGTGAAAAAAAAATCTGCTGCAATCTCCACTACAGACACAAGATGGCGGCGTGGAGCAGAGCCACGTGTTCACTGTCTGTGCCACAAGGTGATGGGACTCAAGGTTTGTGAGATTAGGACACAAAGTGATGACGCAGGTCATGTCTGAAACAATGTTATGAGTCTCTTTGGTCTGAAGCTTTTCTCATAAATATTTATGGCAGTGAGGTGGAGCAGTCAGCTCTTCTCTCAGGTGTTACTGCAAATCATGATAATCCTCAGTTTCCATGAGAAAATGGAGACATAGTAGTATTCATTGAAGAGTTAACTCAAACATTGCTGCAAACAGTCCCAGCATGCGTTACATGTGCATGAAACCTGTGACTTTGATATTATACTCCTTTAATGAATTTAACATTTCAGATGTTCTGCTCCTTAAAAGAACAGCAGGTTTTGTTGAAAAACCATTCCATATTCCTCAAAATATCATTTTGGTGTCTTTACCAAAAAACATTCAAACAATACCCAGTAAAGTCAAGTTTAGTTTGACAAACTGTGAATACAAAAGAGACATTTGGGAGACAGATGTCCTCTATTTTGAAAGTGAGAGCAGGGAAACACCTGGAAAAATAATCGTGACATTTACAGATGTTTCAACACTGGACAGATTCACACAGAGTCATGCTGAGTGCAGAGTGCAGAGTCAGCACAGATATGAAGACAAGAACACGAACATGCAAATGAAGACACACGTGGGGAGTGAAGTGCGGATGCAGAACCCAGAAATGAATGAATGAATGAATGAATGAAGACTCAGGCGAGCACAGAGCCAGAACTCACGACTCTAAACGCCTCAGAGTTCACAGACTGATCTCGTTTTGTGAACTCCACTTATTATTTCCAAACTCAAATTGTGCTCATGCATATCTAACAAATATTACTGACATTGAATATCATCATAATGTCAGCTCAGGACAGAGTGTGGAAACTGGGCTGTTGTTTATGTGTGGCAGACTGAGCTGGCGACAGAGGAGGAGGGAACCTCCCATTAACACTGACATAGGAATGTCCTGTTTCTGTTTGACCCAGATGGTTTCACTGTAGATTTGATTTGACTCGTTACCGTATTGAAAGATCCAGAAAATATACATTTAAAGCCCTTTTTTAATATCAACATAGTCATATTTATCTGGAACTGACAAAGAAAGTTTTTATTGTTCGCTTCTTTTCGTTTCTGGCTCTGGACAAAATCATATGAGTCATTATGAGGAGGATGAGGAGCAAAGAAAAGGAAAGGGGAAAATACCTGAGTGGTTATAGGAGCACCAACAACCTGAGGACACAGAAAAGGTCAGAAACCAAGGAGGAAAGAAGAAGCAGCAGCCGGGGAGCCAGGAGGGAGAGGAGAGAGAGTGAAAGGATGTCAAAGGTCAGACAGGAGGTGACCGGGATGAGTGAGCCAGAGGAGAGCACAGACATAAATAACACGAATGATAAAGTGAAGATAAGCCTATGGGAACAAAGAGCAAACAGACTGAAGGAACGATGTATTTTACCTGGACAGGACCGCCGCCGAGCTCCTCATCCAGCTGAGCGCCGAGGATCGCTGAGGCCCCGATCTCATCCTGACTGGAGTCCATTCCCTGCCTGGGAAACAGTTAAAATGTATTAGCATCACATTCACACATGATGACTGGAACAAACCGGACTGTACCGCTGGCACGCCTTAAACTGAACGCTTGTTCCGTGCACCCTGTGTGTACTGTTTATTTTGTCACGCTTGGTCCTGTTCTTGTGAAATAGTCGCAAACACTGTTTTCTTTTCTTCTTCTTTTTTGTTCTTAAGCCAAATACAACAAACAAAGAAGTGCTTCTTTTTGCAGTCAGAAGGTCACCGTCATGTTTTCTAGTGCACATTTGTGGAACGTGTCCTCGTACAAATACATGTAAAAGTCTGAGGGCAAGCGGAAACCATTTTTTGCCTTCAGCCGTGTGCTAGCGCGCGTGCGTCCTCTCGTGTTTGTCATAATTTACCTTTAACTTCAAACAATCAAACATTTGTCGTTTGATATTTACTTTTTTTTTTTTTTTATCAGTATGAAGTATTAGAAACACATTTCTGAGTTCGGACTCCTTCGCTTCTCGTTCTCTCACCACATGTAGATGATGTGTCCCTGGCGTCCTCCGTGATGGTAGTTGTACAGGATGATGTAGCTGTCTCCTCCGTAGAACTGTCCATATGTGGGCGGATCCACCGGCATCTTGTCCGCTCCCTCAATACGCCAGATCTGTCAAGAAAAATAACAAAGAAATATGACTGTGAGAAAACTTAGCAAATTTATTCACATTTGCCGCTACAGGGAGCTCTACATGTGGAACACCTGCGCCCCCTGCAGGTGGGAAAGTGACAATCTTCTCACCTGTTTCTCTCCGCTGCCGTCATCCACCATGCCGTGCTGGGCGGCCATGGCGGCGGAGTCGTGCAGGGTGGCGGCGTCGAACGGCACCTTCTCGATCTTGGCGATGCTGTTGGCAATGTAGGCGATGCCCAGGCCCTCTGTCTGATCTTTGTCCCGCCAGTTTTTGAAGAATTGCTTGAAGAGCGGCGTCTCGCCCATCTCTGGCAGGATCTGCACCTGCGTGTGTTTGGGGTAACCCATCTTCTTGATGAACTCCTCCGCTGCATTCATGGACGCCTTTCGCTCGTCCATGTTGGCGTCTTTGCCTGTGGAGAGAAGAGAGTCAGGATAATTCAGTTAAGTGAGTAATATTACAGAATTGTTTTTTTAAATTGAAAATCTCAGAAATGGATGATGTGGGTATTTCAATTTAGAAACAATTTAGAAATAGAATAATAAGAAAAATAAGAATAATTCAGAAACTTTCTAATCCTTTAATCCTATTGGCTGGAGGTAATTCCCACAATGCACTGCCTTTTGCATTTGACAATTCTCTGTGGAGCAAATTATATACTCTCCCATTATTGTAACATTTTATCAAAAGAGGAATTTTTTTTTTAAATCGATGTAATAATAATAATAAAAATGTATTATTATAGAATTTCTAGGATTATGATTAGTTAATTCTAACTTCAGTTGAGTTAACATGATTAAAAGGATGACAGTTTGGTTTGTAAGCACCAAAAACAAAGCACTTGTTATACATTGTCGGAAACACGCTTATTTGATTTGTTGCTGAAAGTCTGATGAGAACTGACACCACTCATGTCTGTACAGTAACATGTGCACTGTCGTTTCTAAAGGTGTGAAGTATTTCAGCTGATTGTGGGCTCACCTTAACTGTTCAGAAAAAAACACACACAATATATGTTATACAGTGGTATCAGCTATCTGCCTGTGCGGGTGAACCACTGCTACACCGCTGCACTGACCTTTCCAGACGAAGATCTTGCCGTCGGCGCCGTGGTCCAGAATGAAGCAGTCACCGGACTCCAGGGCGCTCTGGGCGAAGGGGTTCTCTGCTGCCACCAGTGTGATGGTCATGCCCCCGCTGGCATTGGACACCTGTGAAGGCGGAGAGTTCGATTGGACGCATTCTTGTGAAAACGAACAATCCGAGGCTTTTCAAGCTGGTGAATATCAGCTGCCGTAAAATCACTTGGACATGATATTTACAGGTTGGTCACTGGAAATGTTTTTCAGAAGGAGATTGGTTTAAATGAATTTTCACATTGGGTTTATCAAAAAAAAAATTGTGTTTCCTACTCCTAAAGCAACTGATCACAATAAATTCCAGTAAACAGGCTCCTCTCACAACAAACACGGTTAAGAATCCTCTAGCGATCGAAAAGTGTCTCTGTAAATCCATGTCTCTCACCTTGTAGAGTTTGGCCCTCTTCCTGTTTGAGGCATCAGCTTTGATGTCGTCCGAGGCTCCGACAGGCAGATCTGGTTTGGGGCCTAAAACCTGAGGGCAGAGGCAGCCATTTTAACAAAAGTCTGCCGCAGTGAACCCGGAGTCGGCCTGTTCTCATCATTCACCGATCTCACCTCTAACATCTTCTCTCTCTCCATCCCCTCGTCACAGACATACACTCTGGCTCTCCCACTGCGCTCGTTGTCACGGATACCCTTGGCGACCTGTGTAGCCTTCAGCTTCTCAAAGCGGTTGCTCTGGGAGCCACACCACTGGAAAATCTCCTGTATAACAAAAAAAAAACAGAAAACAGAAAACAGATCGCAAAGAAGGTGAATAAAATCTTTACTGAAGGTGGAACTGGCAGAACTAAAGACTTCTTTTATGCTGTTGTTCTGATTAACAGATTTAAGATCTGTACAAATCTTAAATTGCGACAGTGACATATAACACAAAGACAAATAACATATATATATATATAATAAAATAATATTATAATGTATATCTAGTAATAATCTGCTCCGTCTGACTCACATCTCCCAGGTCCAGGATGAAGCAGTCTCCCTGGTTGAAGCTATCCCAGCTCACCGGCACCTCTGTTGCCCGGACAGTACGGCGACCTTTGACCTGGAGCACCCGCTGCACAGACACCTCGTTGGTGACGACATGCTTGAACCCAGACGCCACGCCCCCTTTCTGGAAGGCAAGAGTTGCACATTGAATTGTCAAAATAAAATACCTGCCTTTTAAAGAGATTGTTGCTCGCACCTCAACCAAACTGCAGTCAAAGACTGATTAAAACATCATTTTAATGGCTACTGGGAAATTTAGACACTTCACTGACAAAATAATGATGTCATAACAAAGTGAATCTTCTAATTACAGATGCTGGATGATAAAATTCATGCTATGTGTTATTACTTTTATTGAGTGCAGTGGTTCTACAGCAAAATATGAAAACATTTAAATATAATGCAATTTTTTAATGGATATTAGGAAATGTATACATGTTTGACAAAATTATATTATATCATAAATGACTTGACCTTCCCCTCTACACATATTGAGTAAAACATGCAGTTTATCATTTAAAACATGATGAAACATGAGCTTAAAAATGTTCATAAACAGACAGAAATCAGATTATCCAAGATTTAAAATGCACAAAAACAAAAGAAAAAACACAAAACACATGTGTCATAGTTTTTGCAGATAGATGTTTATCTATGTACAGACACAACATCTTACCATGTATTTGATTCCAGACTTGAAGTAGCCCAGAAAGGTTTTGGACTCGTGTCCCTGGACCTCGCGGTACTGGATGGGTTTCCCCCCGAGGAAGTCGTCCATTTGGACAGTAAAGATGGCCGCCGAGCCGCTCTCATCCTGAGTGCAGAAATCACCTGCACCAGAAGAACCAAACACGCACTCCATATTAATCCTCGTCTCATTCGATCTCAGCAGACATCCTCTGCATCCACCCAGAGAGTCACATTTTGTGTCTGACGGGTTCTCTCACTGAGGACTCGCTCAGGAGATCGATGCGCGGGACCAGCAAGGGGTCAGATCCCGGCAGACACATTAATACTTGCAACATTATTTTATTTCTGCTCACAACATGGAGTTCAGTGGCATGTGTGAGGGGTTACATCATATCCTGTTTACTGGTAAATGCCGTTTCCATGATCAGTCGAGCGGACTAAAAGCACATGGAATCAATAAAGGAAAAAAGAGCAGACTCAGCTTCTGGTTTTTATGTTTGCTCTGAGCTGAATCCTAATAAATGACCCAGTCAGACTCACCTTCTGTCAATACTTTTGCCTCAACCAGATCCCAGTTTGACTTCAAATACAGACACTGAAATCAATCAGCGTCCAGTGGAAAACTGCAAGAGTAATTTCCCCTTCTCTTCTGTTTGAGTTCAGACAATTATTCTGTCCCAGGTATGATGTAATATCTGACCGCAGCAGGTTACTTTGCAGTTTCAGATGTTACATACAAACGTTAGATCAATGTATACGGCATAGTTTGGATGTAGTACCTCCTTTTCATTTGCATTGTTCATGCTCATAATATACATATGTACTAACATTAGATTTCGATGCATTTCATGAGTGATAATAATCAACTATTCTGACTTTTTTACTTTTGATGTTCAGATTTCATTTTAGGTCCAATTTTGAATTCTGAGCTTTAATTTGAAATTAAATATTTGCTGATTTGACTTAAGTCAGGGGTCTGAGTACTTCAAACACCAAAGATAATATTCTATTATCTACTATTCTATTAAAAACAAAATCATATTTCATTCAACTTTCACAAACCGATAAACAATTTACAAAAGCACATCTGTCCTTCCCTCGTTGAAAAGAAAAAAGGCCCATCACAATTTTCCAGGCTGGTCAAAGTAGGCAGGATGTGAACATGTCAGAAAGATCAAACACAGCAGCAGCAGCAGCAGCAGCGTCGGTTCACACATCAGTGTCTGTGAGCTTACAGTGGACAGAAGTGCACACACAGTCCCTACATCACATCACATTTACAGTAAAAACCTGCAATGCAGCGACACTGTCAGGTGAAATTAGGCTCCAGGAACACAGACACAGATCCCCATGGGCTTTGCGAGTTAAACAGGGTCGTAGCTGCACTGGAAAAATAAGATCAGCTCTTCTATGTTTCGCCACACCTCCGTGGAAACCAGAAAAAATGTGATTTCATGTCTGCAGGCTGCTAAGTGGCCTTCAATCCAAAGACCTCTTTTTTTTTTTTTAGCAGTGTTTGTGGCTGTGATTCAAGTTTAAGACACAATTTCATCTGCTGTCTAGCCCGACTCATTCCCGCCTCACTGCACTCACCCAGCCAGAAGTGGAGGTCGTACTGCAGGTTCCCGGAGCGCTGTTTAATGGTGTTGAGGATGAGGTAGGCGTCTCCGGTGTAAAACCCCCCGTACAGGTTCTCTGGGACTGGCACCAGGTCGAACTTCTCCACCCTCCACACCTGGAGGCCCGGCTTCTGTCCGGCCCGATCAAACTCTGGGTGGTGCGCTGCCATCCTGCCTGCAGAGAAGTCACACACACCTGAGATTTTAGTGCTTTTCTACCCCTGTGATTATTCCGAGTCGGCGGTCAAATACTGCAGAGATAAGAGTCGTAAAGCTTCGTAATAACCTTTGAAAAGTGAGACCGGGGCTCTCGATTTATGAGGTGTTTGCTCTGGGAAACATGAAGCAACTCCCTTTAAGGCTGAGTTGTTGCCATGGATACAGAGATAAAGTTTAGGGGTTATAGTTAGATATTAATGCTCAACAGGGTGAGTCACTGTTGCCCTGTGCTCAGAGTGTTTCCTCCAGTGAGGAGGAAGAGGAAGTCCTGGCAGTAATGACTCAGGCCAAGTCATAACTGCAGATGATGGCGGTTGAAGGAACACTGTATAATTATATACAGGAGGAGAGACTGGCTATGACACAATTTTCTTTGTACTTTTGTATAACAATATGCAGACAGAGGCAAATCAAAGGAAGAACCTGCATAAATGAGTAGAAAAACATAAATGCAGATGCTTCTATACAACAAAGAAAGGCTCAATGAATCGTATGATGAGTCCTGACTCCTCAAAGATTTGATTTGAAACTACAAAGCATAAAATCCCTCATCATTAAAACAATAAATCAGTCAGTGACCTTGTGGATGTGCAGCTTGATGATTGAATTATTAAACATATGCATGAAAGGACTTGTGAAACACTGTAAACACAACTTTGGAAAGTGTCGCTCGTCAGGAATGAATGCTGATCAATCATACCTGACAGACTTGCATGACGCTGCACACTAGACTTAGACTTGCCCTTAAGGACGTAACTTAGACTTGCAGCTCCGTTGAATACCAGACAAATCAGAGTAACTTCATCACACTGATGCACATCATTAATCTATGAAGCAGTCCCAATCCTGGACTTTCAACATTACTTGAGATGGCATGATGGGATTTTTTTTGTTGTTGTTTTCTGTTTGCATGAGGAATTTCCTGTTCCTCATGCATGCAACAGCATGCCTGTCATCACCTGCACCGGTTCCCAATCACTCACATGGCCCTGATTATCCCCATAGTCATCCCTGTGTATATTTACTCCCCTGTTTCTCATGCTCTTTGCCACACTGTCTCTGTCCCCTCATGTGTACAGTGATCCTGGTTGATGGATTTTTGCCTGCCTGCTGCCCCCTGCCTGCTTTGTTTGCCTTTTTGGACTGTGTATGACCTATTGGACAGTCAGTAAAAACTTTGCCTTTGTACCCTCATCCTGACCTCCAGTGCGCTTCCCTGCATCTGAGCGTCTGATCCAACCAGCACTCTTAAACGCAGAGGCTGAGATATCCTGACTTTTAGTCTCTAATATGGTTTACACTCCAAAGATGCTGCACCCTACACTTCCCATAATGCAACTTGATAGCATCTTTGCATTTGAAATGTTTCATTAGACCTGTAAAAGTCCTCATATTTCCAACTTGACATCTCCAGCTGTTACACTGTTAGAAATGTGTCGTCTTCAAACTCAGGCGGCATCACTTGAGTAATCTTATCAGACTACAGAATCAGAAGACATCCCTGGACGTTATTGTACTCGTCAGTCACACACACTCAAACCTAAACATCCATGGACACTCATACCACACACTTCACTCATATCCAACAGCAAGAAAAACACATGGCGCCCAATCAAGAGTTTCAAGTACGTGTCCGCGCTGAGCTGGCTCACGGCCCGCTGACCTCTCATTATGCATGTGTGGATGTTTGAGATTTTTAAGATTGGAGTTGAACATCCTGTTAAGATCTTCGCTGTGGCTGTCTGGAAACTGCTTATAGAACAAGATAACAGTGAGGAAATCATCTGATTCAGCTGGTGTGGACACGTTTCAGATGTCAGTGTCAGAGAATTTCAAAGAACTGATTATGGAGGGTGGTAAAGTTCTTCTGCTGCAGACTGAGGTTTAAAATTAGTGTTACACTTCCTTTTTACTCCGGTTTGATAAAAGACACAATAACAAAGAAGGTTAGAGTAGCGCAAACAAATAAGTCCACTTGCCTTTGTACATATGCACAGACTTACTTTAAATTTTATTTGTACATTACTTGCTACTTCATATTTCGAAATATGAGAGGCAAAATAAGAGGCAAATATTCTAATGTTGACGCCACTATATCTGTAGTTGCTACTTATTTGTCACATGAAGACTGTTAAGTAAACAATCAGAGTACATCTTCTACCTCTCGTGTGGTTAAACCTAAATGTTTGCAATGTTTAGCAAACATGATGTTTACACAATCAACTCTGTGGAGCAATTCTTTGGTCGCAAGTGTTTTTGCTTACACACCCTGACTCCAACAACCTCCATATTAACTGATGCTTGGCACAGTAAACACTGCACAGAGAGCGCAAACACTTTCTCAAAAGTGAAGCTGTGTTCTCAAATTAGAACCTGACCTCTCTGAAAAGAGCCTCTGTGACCTCTCATGGTGCGCTTCTTCTTCAATATAACTCTTTTTTTTTTTTTTAAAAGGTAGCGTGCTTATAAGACATTCATAAAGCATAAAGGTTCAGGTATTACATTAAAAAAAAAACATGCACAAACGGGAGGTCATGTAGTTCAGAATGGACACAGAATCCAGTTTTCCACAGGAATGCTGCTTGGATCTGCTGCCTCTCAATTTGCATGACTAACCATCCACAATGGAACAAGAATCGTCCATTCTTCTACGTGGCCGTCTGCCCACAAACATGGCAGGAATCTGCTGCTGACCCTGGAAAAGGGAAGCGCCTCAGTATCGAAGCAACCGGGCCAACAAACGTGGGGATCCTTTTCCCCATTTCTACTCTGCTCTTATGTAACACCCAGACCCACTGCACTGTACTCTGCAGCTAAGGGGAGTTCCCACATGGAAACGTAAGTGGATCATTTTGGCAGCAACACACAGTCAACCTTCCTGATTTTTCATTCTGACATTTTACAACATTGTGGTGGCTGGCTGGAAGGTTTCTCTGATGTGAATTATTTGGATAAATATCTGACTATACATATACATATATCTGGCTAATTGGGTCACACTATGAAGACCTCACCCTTTTGTAGCTCCTTTAAACTTCATGTGTAAAATGACAGTTTGGGGTGAATGCAGTCAAAACAGTGGAAATGCAGCCAAAACAACTAAGTGCGCACAAGGTTGTGCAGAGTCTGAACTTGACGCTGCAGCATCTGCGCCTGGGTTTGGCCCGACAAAGAACAACTGGGGCTGCTGGGCAATTCCATTACGGTCATTACAGGCTGATGGAGGACGTGGAAAGCTGAATTTTCCTGCAGTAACTCTTAAGTAGCCAGGTGGAGATTTTCCAGCTGGGAAAAGCCTGAATCCTCAGACAGTCAGTCAGACAGCAGGTCTGCAGACTGTGGCCGCACACAGGCACCATCACAGAAGTTAAGCATTAGGTGAGTTAAGTATTAACAATTTTTAATCTTTAATTTATCAAGTCCTGGTATGAGTAGCCATAACACACAGTGACCAATAGATTAATAGCAGTTGAAGGGGGGATAGGGCTACATCAGCTGATTTGGTCTGTTTCTCTGCCTTCCAGAGGTGCGGATGCTGCCAGGATTTCTAAAGACTTTAGGAGGTTTTGGTGTCTTATTATCGTCTCCATGGTGATTTGGATGATTTTTGTCATTAGGGAATAGTGAGAACTCATGTTTGGGACATGGAAATGATTAGATGTGGAAACTGTGAATACTTGCATATACACTTATCAAGTGTCTTCAGACTGAGGGTGCTGTAGAGGTTATTACAATTTTATAACATGACCCAACACATTGTTTTCAGTGTTGATAGCCTGGTTTATTTACTATCCAGCACTGATAACAGTCCAAGGAATCAAATCAGGGCATTGCAGTTTGGTTAATCCTCAGCCCTTCTGTTTTCCTATGAGCCATGTTTATCACAGAACAAATAGCAAGAGTGTGTGTCCCTGTTCAGACTGGTGACTGGATGAAGTGAACTGGATTATCACAACGGTCCGGTCCTTTAGGTAACCAAAATAGGAAAGTATGCAAGACTGCACCAAAGCACTTCCTCATAGGATGTTCAGAGCACTGTAATGTCAGTACAGTAATGTACAGTACTGTGGTATTCATTCATATCTCTAATCGATCATACCAGCTAAAGACGGGGCCCAGTTACTGCAATATTTCAACTTAGAGGAAGAGCTCCAGATTTTAGAGACTGCGCCTTTTTTTCTGCGGGCTAGATGAGAAAAGATCGATACAGCTGGAGTCAAGAGGCCATTAGCTTAGCTTAGACTGAAAACAAGGGGAAACAGTGCCAGGCTAGCTGTTTTCCCCTGCCTCCAGTCTTTATGCTAAGCTAGGCTATTCACCTCGCCAGCTCCACACTTGACACACAGACATGAGAATCAACTATTATTTTAAGCAAGTTGTTTGACAATAACGAGTTTAGTCATATTAGTGACCCCATCTAGCATTATACAATAACATATGGTGACAAACTATCACTCAGTGTTTAAAATGCATCTACATGAGGTTAATACCACATCCTGCAAACTGCTGCTTCCAAAATATCACGGAAGCAGAACACTGGTGACAGAATACAGTGACTTAATGTTCCCGAGCTACTGGAAGTAAATCAGTAACTTCTGCTTCATATACTTCATCCAATCATTAATGTCATCTGCCACACCCAGCAATATGAGAGCAGCTTGCATACACAGATCCGAGCGAAGCAAGAGGATCCTCACTAACACGGAGGCGGATGTACAGCAAGGGAAACAAAGTCCCCGAAGGCAACACGGGGCATATTAACACCGAAAACTGTGGCCAGAGTAAAGAGCAACAGAAAAACTTCAGTTTTCACTTCTTAACCACTTGAAGTAAAGTTTTGCATTTTTGTGAATTTCATGACAACAGTACCCGTGTATCCCTTTCAATCCTCATGATAAATGTTCAAAAACGTACTGCAAATGCAGCTTTCTCAAAGTCTGAAAAAAGAGCCGTCTTTTCTTTTTAAAAAAAAATCCTGAAAACTTGACTAGTTCAAGGAGACAGCCTTTTCATCCAGTAACAGCCACATACCTTTACTCTGAAAATTTTAACTCACGGAAAATGCAACTTCGTATCCTAAAGATCTGAGTCTCTGTGGCACTAAATAAAAACGGCTGCCTTTGACTGTGATCTTTCCCTCTGATGGGGAGAAATGTTCTGTCTGTCTCTGCACATCAAAGCTGTTTCATCCCAGAGTTAGAAACTGTCTGTGACTTAATAAAGCAAACATCAGAGGGGATACGCAGCATCTGAATCACCTCACACTTTGAAAAATCAAAGCCAGTATTAAAAAATGTGATAACAACTCTTGACAAAAGCTGGATAAAAACAAAAGAATCTAACAGGGAGACAAAGAGTTTAAGTTTTAGAGAATATTTTTTGTGTTTTTTCTCTCTCTCTCTCTCTCTCTCTCTCTCTCTCTCTCTCTCTCTCTCTGTCTCTTTTTTTTAAGGGCAGCAGCTGACTAAAACAAACATTAACCATTAAATGTTTCTGGCTGCTCCAGATTGTGACTCAAGTGACTCAAGTGACTCAAGGAACTGCAGTTTGACTCAGCTGTGAGCTTAAATAGAACAGGTCACATGACTGTTGGTTAGTGGGTCTTTACAGGCATGCTGGTTAAAGCAGATGGTGTCTGCAGGCCACCCCACGCCTCTGCAGAGCTGGAGGTATTCGTCGGGTTTCTACACCCTCATCTGCTGGCTCTTTGTGCCCCGACCACCCCCACCCCCACCCCCACCCCTCCTCACCTCCAAACAAACACGGAGCAAGTGTGTGTCATTCCAAGCACAGTTATTTAGCCCCCTCCCCCACTTTTACCAGCCTCTCTTTTGTTGTCTGCCTCCGCTTGAGGCCCGAGTGAAAACTTAATACTTGATCTGCTGTGCTGATAGCAAAAGTGGATTCGTATGACATGGAATATTAAAAGCCCTTGTGATTTGTCTGCTGGTGTCCCACTTCACAAACATGCACTAAATATATTTATCTGTGAAATTATGGATTTCTGGGCTCTTGTCCTGAGTTTCTCCCCCCAAAAAAAAGCTCCTTCTTTCAGTAAGGGGGATTCTTGATGACTCATTTTTTCCATGCATGCCACTCTCAAGCTCCTGAGGCCCGCTTGGCTGCCCCGCAGCTCGCTCAGGACACTTTAGATGACACACACACATGCACGGACTCTTTACTAGCCGCAACCCCTTTCTTCTGTTTACACAGTGTAAAACAGACACAACTAAAATGAGTGTTTATGACTTGGTAAATAACCGTCCTGATATATGGGGGGTTATTAAAGGATATGAGAGGGGCTCTTTCAGGAATAATCCACCTGTACACACTTCAAAGAGCCAGCCACTGAAACCAGTTCTCTTGCCTAAAGCACATGAAGTCATATTCATGACAAAATGGCATCTTGTCGGATTGACACTGATAATGCAGTTCAATGTTACAAAGACAGCCTTTATATGTACAGATAAGGATATGTATCAAGATTGCACAGAGTGTGTAACATTAAATACAGTGAAGCAGAGTTTTTAACCACTGTCCTGCCCTAAATGCAAAGCAGCTACAGGATGACATGATGTACGTTATGAGTGAGGAGTGTGGCCCTCTGTTTCCTCGTCTGGAAAAACATTGACCATATCGGAGTCATCGGGAAAACCCCAAACTTTTTTCCTGAAATATAGTGAATATTATCATCAACAATGTATGTGTTGCTGACTCCACTTTCTCTCATGTGTATTTCAGTATAGATTGTGATAGTTACTGTCTCATGTAGAAGACATAAGGGTTTTAAGAGGGGTGTGTTTGAGGGCGACTCTGCTTGATGTACATGTATCTCTATCTGTCAGTGTACTCGCTCGTCCTGTCTCAGCTTCACTATATCTGCTAAATTTCAAATTTCATGCCAACTTAAATGGCCAAATAGGTCTTTTGTCATTGCCCCACCCAACATCGACCCATAATACAGTTACAAAAATGACTCATATGCGCGTTTTCTGAGCTGCCAAAATGTGGTTATGGTCTAATTGAGTTTACACAACTAAAACCTTGAATTGGTGATTTACAGGCCACAAGACATCTGACGTTTTTGAGTCAAAAAAAGATAATAAATTTGATTAAAACAGTAAAGGTCTTTGAATGTCTAAGTTAAAAAATATTGCATAACCTGTTTAACATAGACATACAGTTATTTAAATGCTGAAACAATGGTTATAGTTAACCTGCACAGCCCTGGCCCAGTTTGAATCTTGACATCTTCTGACTTGTAAATCACCAAATTAATGTTTAAGCCAAACAAACCATCCAACCTCCTCCTCAACACTTTTCACAGCAGCACCACGATGTCACCTCCACTTTTACTCCTCAGAGAGGACCAGGAGGACAATCGTTGCATGACTGCATAACCGCAATAGGTCAGTTGTCAGGAAACATCATAACCTTTGTTAATGTTTAAATACCAAAAGACATGCTGTCATTTTTCGTGTGAGGACACTCTCCCAAATTTAGATTGCCTGGCTCACAGAAGGGGGAAAACCCAAACTTCAGGCAACAGTATGGCAACACAGAAACTTTTTTGGTGCCTTCACAGATGCTGTGTCTGTGTTTTTTGACAGGCTTTGAGCACAGACAAGAAATCTGAACAGCGAGAAACACCTGAACATAAATGAACGAGCGCAAGAAATGTGTTCAACGTTATGACTTAGTAGTAAAGACGAACAGTATTTCCTGTTTTTTCTGTCCTTGGTGAAGACAGAGAATATGTCCACATACAAACACTCTGCTCTCCTGCCCTGTGTGTGTGCACACAGTTGTCTACGGCTTGTATTTAAATCTGAAGTGGGTGCAGTACAGTCGGTGGATGCAGGCATCCCATAATCTCTGTCCGTCTGACAGCTGAGTGTGGATCTGACACAGTGCTTTCTGAGTGGTTATACACATACACAGACACATATACATCCCACTGTCTAACACACACACACCTTATATGGTTGCTGCCACAAACACCCACTACAGGATGTTGTGACTAACTTCCTCAATGAACAATCTCAGTATTTGGTTGTGCGTTTCTATGGCAACCTGCAGATGCCTCCAAATAGACAGCATAAGCAGCTGCTGAGGAGCCTCAGCAGCTGTATATACCATCTAATTTGGAGGCATCTGGTGGTTGTCATAGAAACACACAACCAAATAGTGAGACCTCATATAGACAGCATATAGAGCTGCTGAGCAGTTCTTTTTAACTTTAGATACTTAAATAAACTTACTTGGCTTTTTTTTCTTTTTTTTTTACTATGATGCAGCGAAACACAGCAAATTACATTTTGTTCAGGGTTTGAATCACATGATGGCAGCCTCAACCTATCTTATACAGTTAAGGAAGAATGGCCTGTTAAGGTGGAACCACTGCGTTTTAATCATCATTCAGCTTTTCCACTGCCTGTCCATATATGGCAGCGGATGCGTTCCACTTTTGACGATAAAAGGTGGTTTACACCTCTTTGAATGAGCTGGACAAAGAGAACTTCTCCTGTTTCACTCCGTACTCTATTTCTCCCATCAGAGCAGAGCTTTGTTAAAGTAACGGGTCACTACTGTAGCTCTAATTAAGGCATCAAACTACCGTCCTGCAATCTGTGCTGCAGGCTGTATTGTTCCATAGAAGAAAAGTGGGTTTGTAACGTACCTGGACGCGTAGGGTTGTAACGGACGGGTTTGGACCTGACTGAGCAGCGGTGAGCGCTTCTGGCTGAAGCGGGAGCAGAGAGGCGTCGAGACGGCGGGCCAGCGAAGTGCGGAGCCGCTGTTTATGCTCTTGGCCCTGGACACTCCCCGTTACGACACTCCCCTGGTCGGCCCGCTGCACCGCCTGCAGAGGGGCGGCGGACACATGGGCGTGTACATGCACACATCTATCTGTCTCGATGTCTGTCCCACTATCTATCTAGATATCCATTTATCTATCTGTTTATCTGTCTGTCTATCTAGCCTATCTCTATAAGGCCTTTGGTTGTGTTGTTTTTGTAGGCCATTAGACTTAATCCCAAATTGTTTTTGCTGTTTTATGTGGTACACTAGGTAGCTACACATTGATCAAACACTACAACTTGCTCCCTGACATGTTGAATCAAAGCGTCTCTCTCTATTACAGTCTCAATAAACGTTTGAATGCAAAGGTGTTTTATTTTATTTTTGTAAAGGTTGTAAATTTAATCTCAGCCACGTCTGAGTCAGATATCCAGCAGAGCGTGCACATTGAACAACACTGCCCCTGTCTGTCGTGGTGGACTTCTGAATGGTACAAAGTTAAGCCCTACGCTTTATGTCTATGCAAACTGTGCACGGTGCCTGCATGTCATATACAACACTAATTCAGTACAGATACTAAATGATGACTGAATGATGCTCCACGGGATCCACATGCTCACTAAAGGCCTGAGGTTGGGCAAAGTGAAGCTCTTTAAGATTCTCACTGGTAAACTTTACTTGCTCTCCAGAGGATGAGGTTATAACCCACTGTTCCTGAAAACGACATATTTTGTTAATTTACACTACATCATTCTTACCACAGGAGTGTGTGTACTACAGTATTACTGTGAGCCCCTCTGCCACACACCTGCATGAAAAGTATTGAATGTAAAGTTTGTAATCTATGTGTTTATCTGGTCATTTAACATTAATGTGCCTGAAAAGAAGAGAAATCAAAGGTATGTGCTTTTTCACCTGAGTTATGCAGTCAAGATGCCATATTAGTTTCATGTTTCTGTGCAAAGAAGATGCATTTATTTTGCTCATGATTATGTATTAAATATACAATCCCAGACAACAAAATCATTACATTCTGACTGTGATGTAATTGCTAATTGCCGGACTGTAATTTGTTCATTATGTGATTGTAGTATCTGCAGCAGGAGTGTAAAGCGGATTGCAAAACACTACTTTTAAGGCCTTGAAACCTTATTTAAAATGTATAGAAGGGAAACACACAGCTTGTAATGTATTCACTTTGTAAAAACATGTTAAATGATCATTTTGAGATGTTTTCTTCCCTCTAAAAACAAAGACTCGTCTTCTTTTGGACACCTGGCATTCAGGGGTTTAGAGCAATTAGAGAACTCAGCACTTGGTGGTGTAGCATGAACAAAATGTTTATGTTTTACAAAATTGTTGTCTAAAGCTGGATAATGAGAACATGCAGCCATCTGTAGCAACTTAAGCGGCAAACAGCTTTTTGGAAGTCAGTGAAGAGTCTGCGGATGTTTTTGGATGATAGAGATGTGCCTCAAAATACAAACCGGTTAGCTCCACTGCCTCCAAAGCAGGTGCTGGTCAAAGGTATTCTGTCAACTTAGGAGAGGAAATAACCATTGTGAGAAAGTCTCTCTGACTGAGTGCCCTCTGTTATCATGGAAAACTGGAACCAGTTATGGTTACCTTCCATTGCTATCATGGTTTGTGCATTTGTTAACACATATATCGACTTTTCATGATCATGCGCTGCCATGTTGTATTAAAAAACACAGCTGGCATGATGTCCTGCCAAACTGCTTCAGACTGAAAGCTCTGGAAAAGCTTATAAAAAAAATGAACTTCTCATGAAAATTTCTGTTGGACTAACTGTGAGTGTTTATTTTACACAATGCTGAGACAACAGAGAAAACAGCTGTCCACATCTGGCAGACAGCCATGGAAACTGGGTTTTTAGATCGTTGAATGTTTATTTTGTTCTGTTTTCTGCCTTACTAGACATACTCTTCCACTGTTACTATGCCACTAAGGATATTTATAATTATATGCAATTATAAATACCATGTTAGTGTTGATTGTTAATTGGAGCATATTATCTGAAAGTGTAGATGCCTTGATCCTGATAACAATTATTGTTAAAGACTTAACTGATTCTTCTAAATGCTCCATACTGAGTCATTACTGCTGAGGATTCACTAAATAGTTGAAACATTAAATTATGCAGTTTGTGATGTTTTGGGTGTTTTAACTGACACATGCAATTGCAGGAAAGTTAGACAACAGAAACATATAAACTGGTACATAATGAGTTATATCTGGGATGGTAAAAATCAAATATTTTCTTAAATAAAAAAATCCTACATGGCTTTTTCAATAAAGACAGTCATTTCTTTTAAAAAAAAAATACATATAAAAGTAAAAATATATATTAAATGTAATTTAATATTGCCATTGTAAGAAGTTGAAAAAAAATTGAGGAAGTCATTGAGGACTTCAGGCTTAAACAACATCTGGACAACATCTGTTTTACTGCAGGAACACCCCACAGACCAGACAGCACCAGCTGACACCTTCCTCCACGGTTTCTACAAAGACATCCATTCTGAGGATATTTAACACATACTTTTTTCTGTTGAGGAGGAAACTGATGCACGTTCACACTGAGAGCCTCTGTTGTCTCCTGGAGCTCAACATTTTAAATATAAAAGTCACTAAATTGACTTTTACCAGTGTGATAAATGCCTGTTGAAATGTGTGAAAAAACTTTTTTTTTTTCAGTTAAATGTTTGGCAAATTCTATAGTATTTGACACAGCATTGTAATACAAACATTTACATATCATGGTTTGTTGGTGTTTGTGAATCATAACACAAATCCAGACCACATCTTGCATTGTTTTTAATCTTTTATAATATAGGACCCCTAATAGCAAACTTTTCCCTCAAGTCCTCAAGTCTTGGCGGCCCTCTAGTGGACAACAGACCAAAAAGCAGGGTAGTTTCTACTCATCCCTATCAGACTGGCATAATTACACAAATATGACACAGTTGACTGAGCGAGAAAGACAATGTTAGAAAGAAGGTTGCCTTGTTAGGTGGTTGCTTTAACAGGAAATTTAATTTGAATGATGTGAAAACTTTGACATCAATAACCTTTTCCTCCTATCTTCTACGACAAGGAACAGTTATAAAGAAAGTAGAATGATTTCTTACACTTTTTTTTGTTGTTGAAAGTATCTTATTATGATCCATGGTAACAGCATGTTGCATTAGGACAGCAGGGAAATAGTTTTGCTCCCCTAGGGAACAAAATGTTAACGACAGCTTTATGGAGATTACATGTTGCCTTAAACAGACACTGTATATTGAATTACTCTCACTGTCGTATTGTCTACCAGTTTCTAAAACTAGGAGATGTAATTCATGCACACATTGTACGGCTCCAGTCATGGATGAAAACATCCCAACAAGAAAGTCTTGTTTTTGTGCCTTGCTGCCTCAGACAGTAACACAAGCTGCATTCAGCCTCAGAGGAAGTCCAGTTTGCCTCAACACACAGAGCTGAACATTTGAAACTTCAGACTAGAACTTAAAGGACCAGGTCACCCAAAATGACCTTCCCATAAGCCTCGGCTGTGTGTTCAGTACCATGCAAATTAGCATGCTAACACTTTAAAATAGTTCAATGAACATAGTAAAATTTATACCAGCTAAACATTGCATGTTACCATTGGCACTATGAGCATGTTAGCATTGACCTTCAGCTCGAAGCACCACAGTGTTGCAGTATTGCCTTTACCAGCATGGCTGTAGTCTCATTATTCTGTTGAACTGATATGGGAGGGCAGCATGTCTGTTTCCCCAAAAGAATTAAAGGGGAAAAGGGAAAAGGCATCCAAATTTGAATTTAAAAACTCATCAGCAATGTCTGGAGACCATGTCCTGGTTACTCTGAATAATCCACAGATCTCACTGTGAACAGGTGTCATTATAAACTACCACAGACATGGCCCCAGTGAAAACAGTTGACAGTGAGGTCTGCAGATTACCCTTAAAGATGGATAGACATGGAACTCAGGCTGCCAGCTGGTCACTGCAAATCTGAATCTTTCAGCAGGGGTGTCCAGTCCCCTCTTTGCTGAGAGTTTTGCTGTCTGTCTCTGGGATGAGGGGCAGGTGGCCAGCAGAGGGGCGCACTGCTGCTGGACGTTTGAGGAAGATTGAGGGGGACCTTGTCTTTGCAAACGTCAATTAAAGGGTTTGAAATCATTGAAAGGTGAAGTGGGTCAGAAAGCAGTGTCTGGGAGTGAATCGACAGCTTCACTGAGTCTAATAAGATACTGCAGCTGGCAGTTTATTCTAACTGAACATGCCTCTGGCAAAGAAATATTCATCTCACTTTGTTTTCTCGTGGGCTCAGCCTTTTGATGGTGTTCCTCACATTCCTGCATTTCTTAGCAAGCCACTGCTCAGGAATGCTGAATTTCTCTTTTCTTCAGTGGGTACACTCACTCTGAAAAAAAATAAAGGATCTGAAGTGTCCATGTGGGTGGTGAAACTATCACTTACACATCTGAAGGCGTCTGTTGTGCCAAGGAGTCTTACAAACTCTGCAATCCTCCACAGAGTCCACCAACAGAATGTGGTTCCTTCACAGTATGCATGACTTACCAAAAACAATGTGAGCTGAAGAGAAATATATTATTATGAAATTTTGACAGGCAGTAAGATATTGATTTCAATTGTGGATCGCATATAGATAAATATTCAGAATGTGAATAGGCTTCCATTATAATAATGCTATTATATGGCAATCTGTGCAAATAAATGTCCACACTGAACACACTGAATGATACATTATAGATAGATTTATTGTCAGATTTTACTTAATCAGAAAAGTACTAACAAGTTCCTTGGAATAAGTAGTGTCTCTTACAGTATGTAATTTCTCCTCTTTTTCTCTATGTCAGCTCATCAACTCAAATACAGAGAAGCCAGAATCATTATATCCATAATTGCTGTGATTGTCTTGCAACACTGACAGAAACAGGTAAGCATTTCACAGCCAAA